TGCCCACGGATTTGTGTTGCGGATTTTGCTTCTACACACACATACACACACACATATATATATATATATATATAAAATTTGTTTGTTGTTGATTACATTATTATCTGAAAAGAAGAAATTTTTTTAATTGGCTTTCTGGCTCAAAAGCTTCCATTTTATGTCAAAAGAATATCCTTAAATTTTTATAAAAAAATATTAAGATTTAGAGATCACTACCCACACAACACATGGACGCCTTTTGGAAGTCCGCTGTATGTCCTTCAAAATCCTAGTTATATCATACTGTCTGAAGGATGTTCCTATGATATACCTGTCTGAAGGACGGGCGTTCTGCTTTTAGCATAGCTGCGATAGTATGTCTGTAAGACACCCGAAAGGTATATTCGAGATTGGATTACAAAATTCAATATTACGTATGTTTAACATATTTCTGATATACATCATGAATCTACATTTAAAATTCGAGCTTTATATAATATTAAGTAAGACATTTTGAAGATGTCCTATGTAAGGACATCCATTAAATATCTCGAAGACGTCTGCTGTACGTCCCGAGAATATCTGCTATATATGTCCATATAAGCGTTGAATATTAGGTATTGTTATCATAATTATTAATATCATTATTATATTATTATTATTACTATTATTGTCATTATTGAATATGTCAATATAGTGATACGTTCACATATAATCATAATTACAGTATTAAAATGTGTATATAAAATTAATTCAAGAATAATTAATTTTATTTTTATAATATAATAATAAATAACATTAATAAACAAAATTAATAATTACATAACAATAGAGAACGTCTTTCAAATGTATTTAGCTTTCTTCAAAAACAATGGAGGATACAAATTCGTATTTTAATAATTATATTAATAATTATATTTTAATCTGTTACATCAAGTTTGAGAGATTAATTTTATCCTATAACTCTTCAAGTTTTCAAACAATTTCCAGTAATTCAGTTAACATAATTCGAATTTTCGAAATGATTTTCCTATTTTCAATATCATTTTGCGATATTCTAAACAATTTTTCGATTTTTAATTAATAAATTATAAATTATGAAAACTTAAATTGATTTTTTATGTTGTAAAAATGTTTTTTTTTAAAATATATAAATATATTTAAAAATTGTTAACATTTCATTAATATTTTTAAAAAATATCTAATGTTTGATGCAACTTTGGAAGAAGTAAAACAATTTTCTTATTAATTTTTTTATATTTTCCTAGCAATTTTCAATTATTTAAACAATTCGTGATACTTTAGTAAAAAAGTAACTTTTTTAGTAATGAATGATATTCTATGTAAAAATCATATTAATATTCCTATTTCAATATTGTTTTTATGTTATAATATAAAGCATTACTTGAAAATATTAACACTATTTTTTAATGACAAATATCATTTTTTACAAGTTCGTAATCATGCAGTAAGCAATACCCAGAGAATGATAATGGAATCTATTTGATATCTTGATTCCATTATCATTTCTCATTGGGATATATCCAAACAATGTTTATAAAAAATCCATTTTACATACTATCGACACGCCCTAATAACGTTCATTGGACATCTGAAGGTGGTACATTGTGCGTCCAAAAGAGTACGTCAGACATCTGGACATTTTTGTTACGTCATCTGGACATCGACGTCCGAACGATACATTCTATGGTCATTCAAGGGACATCCATGTGCTATGTAGTAGTTTTTAAATGCAACTTTTAAAGGCCCTGTAGAAGGCCCCGGGAAAATTCGAACTGGATCTTGTTCTGGGTGAACAGACCTACAATTTGAGGGGAGTAACGATCTATTTGCTTGGAACCTTGCTAAAATCGATCTTGAATTCAAAATTTGATCATTTTTTCACAAATAATCTGGCTATATTCTAAAGGCGTATATCGTAGAGCTAAATGAATTATTGCATCATATTCAGCGACCAAAAAAACATACAGAACCACATTTAAAATCCAGATTAAATCATTTTTGCATCCAATTAAACATGTATTAAGGAAAATCGAAGCTTTAATTTAAAAATCGTTCACTAGCGACCTCTAAATCTTTATATTTTTTGATAAAAATTTAGGAGTATTCTTTCGGCATAAAATGGATGCTTTTGAGCTGAGAGGCCGATTAAAAATAATTTTTTTTTCTTGTCAGTCTAATATATATGTATCTAAAATTTTTGTGTCCAATAATAATTGAATTACTCCTCCTGAGTAGGTAAAACGGATTGGAAATTGATTGGAACAATCCTGTATATTTTGCAATTTTCGTAAACGAAATAATAATTACTAAACATCATCGAATAAATACGTATCCTTCTGACGAATCGTTAAATGCAAGTGCGCTGTGAGATATGATCGCTCAGTGATCGTAATTACTGGAGCGCGGAGAATTGTTTTCTTTAGCCTTTAGTACGTACTTAGCTGTTGGCGTTTGTCGCAAACAACTCCCCGAAACGCCTAGTAATCATACCCGATGAGTGTGTATTTGGTGGTAAATAGATCGGGCGAATGTGCGTTCATTCGGCAATCTTTACTAATCAATATGTTATTAATTACTGCGAAAATTGCAAAACATTGTGGTACAGAACTTTTCGACTTAGCTTATAAGGGAACGTTTTTAGGTACAAATAATTGATCTCGATGAAACTTGGTGGGTGTATAGAGCGGTCAAAACTGTAGTGTATATTTCGTATATTTTCTTTTTGCTCAAACTGCCTTTTTTGAGCGCTAAAAGGTGAACCTTTAATAAGTATTAATCAATATCGCGCATAAAATGCTTCCTAAGAAAAATTAAAAACCTCCAAATTGGTTACATGAAAAAATAAGATCATCAAAGTGTCCTTGAGTTCCTCCGAAAGAAACGAATTGAAAATAATGAGCATGTTTCATCTGTGAAACATTAATTTCGTAAAGTTACTTCGCTGACGCAGTCGTATCGCTGGGAAAAATACGTTCTTAAAGTGACTCAAAACAAGGTAAGACGAAAGTAATAAACTGCTGGATTTTACAAAAATTATTGGAGGCTATAAATCATGGATTCATTATTTATGATGTTGACTTTCAAAAGTGAGCCTTGTAAATGAGCGGGGAAGTAAATTTAAATACTTTCAAGGCAAGCCACATGGTTATTCAATTTCAAAAAATCCACGAGATCGTATCTCGGAAAATAATGAAGTTTATAACTAGAAACCATGTAACAAGTAAAAATGATCTCAATGAGATTGGTTTACGATTTGTAATGTGTGTGTAAGCTAAAGAGCATATTAGAAATTTTGAAAATGCGTACAACTCCGATCAGAGCGGATTCAGTTTGGAGAGATTAGCAATTTGCATTTTGGACGTACTTTGTTCAAAAAAGGTGCGAAAGATTGAATTGTACAATCTTTATCATCAATAATTCCATTGTACAATCTTTATCATCGATAATTCACAGTTACACGATTCACAGTCTCTGCAGCAAATTGCTTATCCTCCTCTGGTTGTAAAAGAATCTAAATTTTGGACCGAGAATCTCTTTTTCAGACTCCAAATGTTCTTGTGATGGCATCGAAATTTGGAAAACTAACACCTCTGATCACCTCAAGAGGTATACAGGTCAAATACAGATATTGGACGTATATGGCTTTCGATGTTGAAAGAACTTCGTGAGAGATTTTCAGATTTAGTGCTGCTGAATGGATATGTCAATCTCCATTTGAGATATAATTAAAATGCAATCATTTGAGATGTAATTAAGATGCAATTAATACGTAATCAATTCTCTTCGCGGAGATTCTTTAATTTATTGAAATATGCTTAGTATAAATCCGGATATTTAGAGGATCGACTTTCAGATTTTGAGAATCCTGTTAATTTTGTTTTACATTGCCCGTCGTGTGTATTGTGTGAAGAGATTTCATTTATATCATGTGTGTGGTGTACAAAAACTATGTGTTTTAAACATTTCTTCACGAAATTCTATTATTGTAATGATTTTGTGTCATAAAAATAAATGAATTGTTCATTATTTTCAATTTGTTTCTTTCGGCCACTTTGAGGATCTTATTTTTTTCATGTAACCAATTGGAGAAGATTTTTAATTTTTCTTAGAAAGCATTTTATGCGTAATTAATATTGATTAATACTTATTAAAAGCGTCTCCTAACAGCCAAGAAAGACAGTTTGGGCAAAAAGAAAATATACATTACACTACCCCACTTCACATCCATCAAGTTTCATCGAGATCAATTATTTACATCTAAACGTTCCCTTGTTAATCTGCTCTATGTGCTCATAAGAGATGATTCGATTGTGTGTGTGCGTGTGTGCGTGCGTGTACGTGCGCGTACGCCCGTATGTGTGTGCGTGCGCGCGCACGCGCGTGTGTGTACACACCATACTCATCAATATAAGTTTATTTTTCGCTTTTAAAACAACGCTTTTTAAACAAATAGTTTTGTATAATTTGTAATCTAATAAACATTAAAATGAATTTGACAATAAAATTTATTCAGTCATTTACATTTTCCTAATAGCGAATTCGATTGGATGCATTCAGTGCGCACTAGTACACATAGAAATCGTGGTACACAAATTAACATAAAAATATATGTTTAGTATAAATATAAAGACGGATTATGAAATCCTCGATACATTTAATTGTGCTGTTGAGTAAAATCTGTACTTTATAATATTTCGAAATATTTTATTTTTACATAGATTAAATCAGTGTTAATATGTACAACAGTTTTAATATGCACTAGTGTATATGCACGAGTACGTCTAAACCGAATTCGCTATAATTTTAGCAAAAAGAAATGACAAAAGAACATTTTGTAGAAAAAATTGAATGCTTTTAACTTATTTTTTAATATAGATGTACTTTTCGATCGTATTATCAATTACAGGACACCTTATATATGAACAACTTCCTCAAAAGCAACGATATTGTTAACTTCTGTTTTTCCACTTCCTTGTGCGGTACAAAGTATTAACTTATCCTGCCTTAAATATTTATTGAACATTATAAGTACACACGTTGTCATATCAAGTCGTACAACAAATACACTCTATTACATGATATCATAATACTGAAGCTTATCGACTTTATTAACAAATCAGACTAACTCAGAGAGAATTATTGTCGTAATAGTCTGCAATTGGTATCTCGTGCTTTTAAGGAGAGTGCTATAATTATTCTTTTCCGTGTCTAGTAATCCAACATCGACTTGTCTGCTACATTTCAATATCTATATGAAAAACTGCTCGAAATAACTGCCTCTTATCTTCTTTATCATAAAAAGTATATAATGCTTGTGGCGTGTATGCGGCATAAAAATCGATTAGATGAATCCTTAAATATCGAATGTATCGTGTAAACTTATCATAACAGTTTATGTCAAAACACACCTCAATATTACCAAATGTTACATTTGTCATAACAATATGAAGATATTCCTAGCGTGATACTTAAAGCTCTTATAATTTTTATAACACACTTGCGCATAGATAATAGCAATAGCTGGGGTTTTGGACTAGACATGATGTGGTTGAATATGAGCCAGCCGACTTGATGAGATGGATCAGGATTTCAGACTGTTCTCATCTAGACGCCTTTCCGTCGCTATTGACAAGAGATTAGAAAATTCCATCTCTAACAATTGTCTTGCCTGCGAAAATAATAGTACTCATATGCTAGATTCTTGTTACAATATAATTAAGAGAAGTGTAAAGTTCCATAAACATTTGTCGCACTTACCTGTGTATTCTGTGTAGGAATCTGTAAAGTTAATGCAAAACTATTTGCATCAAAACTTTCATCTAGGGCTATGAGCGCACCGTGCACACCCGATTCTAAGAGATTATTTCCATATTCCTACAATTACAAATTGGATGTTAATTTTTTTTCATAAATAATCAGAATAGCAGAACAATGAAAAATGTTCTACCTTCAAACCAATCGATTGTACCCATCTTATGACACGATCATTACTCCAAACGAGTACATCTATGTTGGCACCTTCTGCTACTCGTCTTCTTTCCTCTAATTGTTGTCTATCATAATTTAGTCGTTTTAAGCAAGAAATACCGTACTGCAAACTTGTTCTGTAATAATATATTCATAATATTGTAATATTATAATAATAATAATAGGAATGAGAAGTAAGGCTTACTTCTAACGCCATTATTTTTGTTGCAATGGTATATCGCCATTACTTTGATATAATGATTTAGTAATGATGTAAACTTTTTATGACGTTAATGGTAATACCATAACGGATTGGAATAATTACTCATTACTTCCCAGATAATATGCATGTTACTTAAGAGATATAAAAGACGTCTTTTACATATCTTATATAATAGTGCACGGCATTAGATGCACATTTCGGGCCGATTCCGGCGCGCAACCCCCCCCCCCCTTCGCTCCGCTCGAGGTTCAGCGGCCGAGCTATCAGACACTCATATGACTTTCTGGCTCAAGAGCTTATGTAGCTTAAACGTGCGGAAATCATACCTTGCGTTATTAAAGAATATTTTTCTTGCAAAATAATTTTTATTTTCTTAAAAAACTAAAATACTAAATGTTTTAAAACATTTTGTCATAATAATTTTTACCTATCAGAAACTATCTTACCTAACAAAAACTGTACTTTCAAGATGCAACTCTCATTTATTTTTGTTTTCAAACCTGATGATTTGCATTCAAGGAATAATTTCATTAAGAAGATTGTAAGGCAATATATTAAGAATTACTTGAAAAAATTACAGATTATTCTAAATTTGCATTTAAAAATAGTACAGAAAAATTAATAGAAACAGTTGGATCAAAAATTATTTCAATAAAAAGTAATATTTTTTAAATTTGTACTTTAATAGAATTTATATAGAAATTTTAATAGAAATACATGAAAATGTATTACAAAATAATGATAAAAATCTCTATTTTTTAAATATAATAATAACTATCTTATAAATTTAAAAATATTTATGTAAAATTAGAGACATTAATTGTTCAGGAAATAAACAAAATATTTATTGTTATAAAAACTAATTGGTGAATTTTAATGAAATTTTGCATAAGTCATTTTTAGTACTTAAAATATTTATATAAAAAGATTTAGATTTTTGTTATTTAAAAAATTTTTATAACAATAAAATAATCAAATAATATCAAATAAAATAAATAATCTATAAAAATGTGTTACTCAATGAAAACAGAATACAACTACATGTATGTAGTTTAAAGCATAAATATTAATATATGTGTTTTATGATTTTACAATCTCCTTAGGCTAATTCTACAATGTGCTTTTTGTTTTCTGTTTCTTGCTGTTTGTCTCTTGTCTTATTGACCAAAAAGGCAAGAGACAAACATAGACAAACAGCAAGAAACAGGAAACAAAGAGCACATTGTAGAATTAGCCTAAAATTATTTAGAAACATCTAATAATGATCCGACTTTTATCGAATGCTGTGAATAACTTCCTTCTTAGAAGAAATTGAACTCCGCTGCATTCCTCCAGTGACAGTACCATGTACTACTCGCGAATGACTTCAATAAAGAGTTTACAACTTTAATAAAGAGTTTTTGAATGTATCTTTTAAAGTTATCTCAACAATGATTAATTAGCTATTATGTAATTATTACATCTTATTTGTATAAAATCTATATAATTATTTAATGTAGTTGAGTCACTATTTTACTCTCTGTCAATTACTAATATGCAAATAAATTATCAGATACACAGAATATTATCAAATACACAAATAAATTAATTATATTTTCATAGTATTCAATACTACTTTAGTTGTATTACTTTGTAAAACTAGTCACAAGTGTTTAAAAAATTGCAAAGAGAAGAAGAGAAGACAAAAATTTTTTTTTGTCAAATTTGTATATGTATAGTTACCACAATTATGTCGTTTTCTCTTAATGAAATTTGAATATTTTATTAAATTTCAAACGAGATCTTTACAAAGTAGCAAAATTTAATAGAATTTCAATTTAGGATTCAATTTAGGAAGATTTATTGAATTTTGCCACTTTTTTCAGCGATTTTCGTTGCAATTTAATAAAAAATTCATTATAATCACTGTATATATATATACATATATATATATATATATATATATATACATATTGTTTTTTATTGTTATCAAAGAGCATCAGCAAACAATTTATCGTTACAATTTGTTCTAAAATGCATTATAATTTTAATAAAATTTTCTTTCTTTTTATTAAATATTAGGTGTTGGAATTAATTCGTAGCGTTTTACAAGAGATGGCACAAGCAGTACACTATTTCGTTGTTACCTATAGTTCTGTATACATTGTAAACATCTATCATAGGAC